CACATAATTATTCTTAAAAAGTTCACCCAAAAACCTTTTATCTTACTTGTATCTATTTAGTTTACTTGTTCTTATAATGATGTTTAGATTGCCCACAAAAGCTTCGTGAGGCATTAGACAAAATCAGCTACCATTCTAAGTTATTATTTTTAGAGCTGCTAAATTTTGTAATAGAGAGAACATAAGCTTATTTGGCTAAGAAACTCAGACAGAATAAAGGCTGCGTGTCCACATCACATCCAAGGCTAATGACGCGGAGGACATGCCTATTTTAATCAAACTTTAAATAAGCTTTTGTTCACCAAAGATTATTCTATATCACGTTAACTTGAAAAACATTTGGGTTAGTTTCTGTTATATTTCTTTTGAGAGTATACTCAATTTACATAGCACCTGTTTGTTTTTAAGCCAATTAAGTAGAGCTCTGTTATAAACTAGTCTTGATAATACCATCCGGAGGTAGAAAAATATCACATATTTGTAACATACATATATAGACACACATAAGCACACAGACAGATGCCAACAGAGATGTTATAACCTCCATTGTTAAATTTTTCCCTAGATTTTTTGGGCAAGGGTGCTTCCACAGCAATCTGCATCTCCAAAGGCTTCTTTTCCGTTTTTTTTCCCTTCAGTCTTAGGAATCATGGTCTGGTCTAGATAACAGTTCCTGGAGAGGTTACAAGCTTTTTGAGATAAACAGGGAAGGTTAGTTGCTTATCAAGGACTGACATACCCATGCCAATGTACTGACATACATTGTCTTTAATTTGTTTCTTTCCCTCTGGGTACATAGTTTTATTTTAGCTTAGGGGGGAAAGCCTAGAAAAAAAATTCCTACCACCCTCTGAATATCAGCTTCCAATTTGGCCAAATTTCTTATCATAAGTTACTAAATCCTTTCAAATATCAGATTTCAGCCAGGACAAACAGGAGATATTTCTGGCAGTATTAAACAACTCCATTAATTTTTAATTTTAGTTTCTCCTTGACTGTTTAAGGGAGTAACATAGCAGTTTACCAGAAAATCTCTCAGATTCTTGTTAAGACTGGGAGGGGCCCATACAGGGCTTCCTTCAAAAGTAGATACGGGGGTGTCTGCAAAGGCATTAACTTAAATTTTTATTAGTTTTTTGCAATGAAAATTTCCATAAGGCTATTTTGGAATTTTGAGGCCTTTGTTTTTAAGTGCACTTCTTAAATGATCTTATCTCATTGGAACCTTCCTTCCAATAGCCGTTGTTATTTCCCTGAGGGCTGGCAGCAGTTTATAGGACCCTTAAGCTACAAATGGAGTTTATCCCCCGTTTCTGCCCAGCCAAATCTGGCTGCCAATGGGGGTGCAACCCACATTTCTGTCTGACCACGTTTTGGGGCCCCCAGCCTGACGGTTACCAAGCCAAGCTCTCAAGACAGGAAACAAGCTTAGTAAGATTTTGATGTTCTTTGTAAATATTTACAGCTTCTGGGACCCGAGTTTTTAAGCAGGTGTGCTGGAAGATGGCGGGCTTCATTCTCTAGAAATTAAAGATCTTATTTCTGGTCCTAAATCCATGGTTCTCAAGTCTGGTGTGCAAAAAAGACAAGTTTTGGAAGCGCAAAACAACCCCCAATTGGCCACTGTAATTTTAAATCATCTTTAGTATTATCGGTCCACTGGGACAAAAATTTACAAGAGGAAGGACCATAGTTCTTTTTTTTTTTTTT